TCATCATCATCATCAGCAGCATCAGCAGCAGCAGCAGCAGGAGCAGCAGCATCAACATCATCAGCATCATCGGCATCAACGACAACATCATCCGCATCGTCATCAACATCATCAGCATCATCGGCATCAGCAGCACCGTCATCGGCAGCATCAGCAGCAGCAGTATCACCACCATTAGCAGCGTCATCATCAACAGCATTGTCATATTTATCAGCATCATCATCATCATCATCATCATCATCATCACCATCATCATCATCATCATCATCATCATCATCATCATCATCATCATCATCAGCATCATCATCAGCATCATCATCATCATCACCATCAGTCGCATCATCAACATCATCAAAAACATAAGCATGAGCCTCATCAACAGCAGTATCATCATCAGCATCATCAACCTCATCAGCATTCTCAGCACCACTATCATCATCGCCACCACCACCACCACCACCATCATCATCATCAGCATCCATCACTGTCCCCTATGAATAACTCCCCTCTGGTGCAACCCAAGGCGGATCGGTAGGGCGGGCAGGGCGTGTCGCCTGAGACGTCCTCACCGCTGATCAACCTGAAGCTTGGCATGTGCAACAGCTTAAAGGACGGAGGGCGGGTCGTTTTCTAAATGTAGCTCTCGCCTTAGCGCCGCGCACAGTTGTCTTCAAAGTTTGCAGCAGCTTCTAGGATGGAGGGCAGCTGGTTTGAAAAATGCGTGTTTGATTCGTTAGTGCAGCTTACATTCGTGTTTTGCAACAGCTTCAGGGAGTGAGGGCGGTTCATTTTAAAATGTAGTCCTTGACTAAGTGCCGCGCACATGTTCCCTGGGATGATGTTCTGGCACGATTTAGCATTGTCAGGACGCAACAGTCACGTTGACTCGCGGTGTTGCAGTCCCACCAAAAGCGTTCTGGCACGATTCAGGGCTGCCAGGACGCAAGAGGCAGGTTTAATCGCGGCGTTGAAGTCACAGGAATAATCTTTCTTTTGATACGGTTGGGGGCTCTCAGACGGTTTGTTTCCAATGGTGCGGCGCATTTCTCGAAATCAAGATGCATCCCACCAGCAGACTGGGCGTGAGTGGTCTAGGGCGTTTCCGCTTCCAATATCCACCTTCCCCTTCGGAGGGACTCTCGCCAAAATCTGGACAGTGCACGGACACCTCGTGATCACACTGCGCTGGTTGCTGGTTTTTCTCAGGGACGGCGGAGGGGCCTCATATTGTCCACTCTGTGCAGGCCCTCTACCCCTGTCAAAACGCACTGCTAAGTACACTAGTTATGGAATCTGTCTGGGCACGCGGCTTCAAGGGAGAACGATGTATGAATTGGTGCTGGTGCTTCGAGATCCACTCTTCTCACTGAATGCTCGGCACTGCGCTTCCGAGGAGGCCCCGACTCATGAACTCATTAGGATCGGGGCCCCAGGCTCGGATGCCGCTAATGAGTTGGGAGGGCGGGTGAGAGTGAGCGACACGACTTGCGGCTCAGGGTAATTAGCTTGATCACTGTTCCCCATTCATCAGCCACAGTGCCGCTGGGCACGACCCAAGAGGCCTCCAAGACGCCCCAGGAGGCCTCCAAGGGGCCTTCCAAGAGGGCCCCAAGAGGCAACAATCATTCATTGCCCCTAAGTGTTTGAAGGACTTCGGGGTTCTCGCTTTTCACACTTTCCGACGCTCCAAGACAGCCCAAGAGGACCCCAAGACCACCCCAAAACGGCCTATGAGGCCTTTAAGAGGTCCCCAAGACGGCCTAAGAGCGCCCCAAGACGGCCCAAGAGTCGCCCAAGACGGCCCAAGAGGGCCCCAAGATGGCCCCAAAAGAAACTCAAGAGAGGGAACACGAACCATGAATCCGAGCCTTCCGCCCCAAGAGGCGCCCGGGAGGCCCAAGAGGCCTCCTCCTCCTCCTCTCCTCCTCCTCCTCCTCCTCCTCATCATCATCATCATCATCATCATCATCATCATCATCATCATCATCATCATCATTCATCATCATCATCATCATCATCATCATCATCATCATCATCATCATCATCATATCAATCAAATATCATCATCATCATCAACATCATCATCATCATCATCCATCATCATCATCATCATCATCACATCATCATCATCATCATCATCATCATCATCATCATCATCATCATCATCATCATCATCATCATCATCATCATCATCATATTCCTCCTGATCTTGCCCACCATCCTCCCCCAAGTGTTCCCCGAAGGGTTTCAACAACGGTTGGGGGAACACATGGTCCGATAGCTTGGCAGAGCTCTTGCCACGAAGCTCGGCCACATGGGCGATTCCAAAAGGCAGGAGGCGGCGGTGATGCGCCTTGGGCGTCTTCGATAATTTGTGCTGATCTGAAAGGCGAGCCGCACACGCGGTGGCAGGAGTGGCCTATTGCCACGCACAGACGGGGCATTCTGCCACACCTCTCTCTGGAGCAGGGCCACTAGCCTGGGCTGGCTCTGTCTCCCTCCCACTCCTCCGCCTCGTCCTGTCGGGGGGCCGACCGCGGGTCAGAACCAGCTCGGAGGCTCGGGGTGGCGGGGCGAGGGCTGGCCGAGAGGGCGCCGGGCCGCGCGGGGCGCCGCGCGCCGCGAGGGGGCCTGCGCGCGGGCGTACTGGTCGTCGTCCCAATCGTCGTCGTTCGCGATCGAGAGCGACTCGGGGGTGTTGGGGTACCTGCCCAGTGCTCTGGCAGAGAGCGCATGCAGTCAGAATTACGTTGGTACCCGAATCTAATTGAATAAATGAGTCGAGCCGCCCACCAAACACTGCTCATTGAGCCATGTGTTCGCGCGTCCTCCTGCTTGTGATCCGCCTGCGCCTTCGGCGTCGTCGTCGAGCTTCTCGTCATCGTCGTCGTCCTCCTACTCCTACTCCTACTCCTACTCCTCCTCCTCCTCCTCCTCCTCCTCCTCCTCCTCCTCCTCCTCCTCCTCCTCCTCCTCCTCTCCTCCGCATCCACGTCATTATCCTTCTGGCCCTCGCTCTCCCCCCTTCTTTTGCACCTCGTCATCATCATGCCCCTCCTTCCTTCCTCCCGTTCCTCCTCCTTCTCCTCCTCGACATCCTTTTCATCCTGATCATCCTGGTCCTCCTCCCCCTCCTCCTCCGCCGTCTACACCTGCACGTATCATTCCTGCGTCGCCCCCTTCTTCATACGAATACTCATCCTCCTGGTGTCATTCCTTTTCGACATGTCCCTCCTCACCCTCTAATTCCTCATCGCATTCCTCCTTTCCTTGGTCCTCCTCCTGCTCCTCCTCCTCCTTCTCCTGATACACTTCGAAGAAGAAGTGTTCCTGGGATGAGATCGGAGAGGTCAGCGGGCCCACGTTTCGAAACAAAAACCGCGACGTCGGATCTTTGGGGAGGACAAGAGGCGGGGCGCATAACGGATGCTGAGGCGGTAGAACTGACAGATGCGGCGGCGGCGACGGCAAAGCGGGGGCACAGGCGCAGCAGCTGGGAGGCGGGAGGTGGGAGGAAACAAACGTAGGCGGGGTGTGAGAGACGGGGAAGGATGAAAAAGGTGTTTGACTGATGGAGGCCTCGGACTACGAAACGGAGCAGGCAAAATGGATTGGCGCAGATCGCTAGCGGCCTCTCGGAGCCCCCGAAATGTGAGGATGCATCGGGAGAAACGGCCCAGCCCACCGCGCGAGCGGCATCTCGGAGCAAGTACGACTGGATCCTAGGCGGCGATTTCAACATGGAGCCTGCTACCTTGCGTACCTCGGGGCTGCTGAGCTATATGGACGGGTCTATCATCTACGACCAGCCGAAAGGCACGTGCGAGCGAGAGACGAGACCCCCTCAACCATCGACTACCTCATCGCATCCAGGAACATGATCGTCAGGCTCGTGGAACCAAAGGTGCAGGAGGGCTTCAATCTATGCGCGCACTCGCCACGAAAGCTCACCATCAACAAGCCAACCCGCGAGGACGGAAAGATCCTCGTACTGCATTCGCCCTTAGGGGGCCGCTGACGCTGCCCACAGGCTGCCCAGGGCCAGGCAGACGACGACGAACGCGCAGGCGGGAGGCCGGGGCCAGTGGGGCGGGCGGGCGGGCGGGCGGGCGGACGGGGGGCCGGGCGGAGACAGCAGGCAGGGAGCACGAGGGAAGAGAGGGAGACAAGGAAAAGGAAGAGACGGGAAGCAACCGCAAGCAGACAGGCCGGGCCATGGGCCGGGAGAGAAGAGCCACCCGCGACGAGGCCACGGACCCTGCGGCGGCGACACCAACAAGGCGGCGAAGGCGCAACGGTGGAGTGGGCGGCGGGCGTCGGGGGGGGTCGCCTGTGGTCGTCGGAGAGGGCCGCCAGGGTCGTCGCGGGGCGGCGTGGGGTGGCCGACCGGGCCCAGCAGGCTGCGGCTTGTCGGGGAGAGCCCTGCCGGGGCAGAGCCAGACTGCGTGCGTGAGGGGCGGGCGAGAAGCCGCCGGCGCGACGTTGGCAGAAGTACGCTGGGGGCGCCCGCGCTGCCCAGCAAGGGCAAAAGGGGGATGGGCGGGAAGCGCCAGGCAGCGCAAAGGACGGCGGCCAAGCGGGCCGCTGCCACCTCCGCCCCTCCCGACTGCGCGCGGAGGCGCCGCAACCCCGCCTGCGCGCTCTCCCTGCGCAGGGTAACGGAAAGTCGCCGAGCGTTAAGTCAGCAACCTGTGCGGGGTCTTCCCTGCGGCGTCACCCACGCGCTTGGCTAGGACCCCGCAAGCCCTGCCCGCCGCTGCGGGCTTCCCCCACCACGGGGAGGAACGCAAGGCCCTGCGCCGCGCAAAGACGCGCGGTGTCCTGGCGCTGGCTTTTGAAATCCTCGCACCGCCCCGTCGCCGCGCTCGGCGAAGCGGCCGACGAGGCGAGGAGATCGGCGTGCAACCCGGACCTGGCGGGAAAGTCCCTGGCGGCCGCCGTGCCGTTGCGCCACCGTGGCAGGTAGACGTCGGCGCGGCGGTGGCCGTTGCCGTCCACCTCGGACCCGCCCTGCTCGCCCCTGGGGGGGGGCCTCCCGCTCCACTCCGCCCCAGCGTGGCCAGCAGAGAGGGCGTCGAAAAAAGCCTGGTTGCGCAGGGCGTTGCGGCTTTGGTCCGGTCGCCGCGGCAGGCGCAGACCCAGCGTGATCGCAGAAGACGTCCATCACCTCGCAACAGGCTGGAAGAAAGCACTCCTCCTGTAAGAACTGGACTCGCAGCCGCCTCTGCACGCCGACCTGCACGAGGCTGGACGGGAAGGCGGTGCCAGTGGCCTCGCAGGGAGGCGCCTGGAGCCACGCGGCAGGGCCAGGGGCCTGCACCAAGGAGAGGTGCGCCCTGCCAGCCAGTGCGACGACTGCCGGAAGCCCGTTGAACGCGACGCTGTCCACCGCGTCGGAAAAGGTTTTCTGGTCGCCGTGCTGCGCGCGGTCGAACACCACCCGGCCGGCGTCCCGCACTACTGCGTTGTGAGCCTGCACCGCAACCGCCAGGCTTCCCCCGTCGCGGTCGGCGCCGTTGGAATAGCCAGGAAAATGTTGCCGACAGAGGTCGGTGCTCTGCGTTCGGGAAGCCATGTAAGCGGCGGCGGCGTACTTTGCGGTGGAGCGCAGGCCGAGTCGTCCTTGTTGAGCTTGGGCTGAGCCTGCTGCCAGGAGGGCCAGGAGGCGTCGGAAGGCGAGCAGCCGCAGTTGCTCAAGGCAGCCGCGGACAGCGGCGCCCATGGCCAGCAAGGAAGCCGTGTGCGCGGTGGGCGGCACCACGCGCGCGGAATAGCCCGACTTGCGTAAATATTTGCACTGGCACAGGAAGTGCAGCCGCCCAGGGAGCCGCGAGGTCTTGGCTGGGTCTGTGTGGCCCCCGACTCCCCTGGACCTCCCAAGAGCCCACGAAAGTTGCGACAGTTGCGCACTTCGCGGCCACTCCAGGGACAGCCCAGGATGAGGCAGGAGGAGTGGGGGGAGGAGAAGAAGTGCAAACCACAGAGTTCTCTTCACAAAGAGAGCCAACACAGGAGGGTTGGGGAAAATACCATCCTTTCTCTGGTAAGACTCCGCTGAAGTGGTCAAAGGAAGACTCGGGGGAAGGACCCAACATACTACATCGACCATAAGTAGCCCACTTGCAACTCCTCCTCCCTCCTCCTCCAATTCCTCCCCCTTCACAACGGCATCATTACCACCACCATCGCCATCACCATCACCAACATTATCACCATCACCAGCATCACCATCATCACCATCATCACTATCATCCACATCATCACCATCACCATCATCATCAGCATCAGCAGCATCAGCATCAGCATTTGCATCATCAGCATAATCATCAGCACCATCAGCATCATCAGCATCAGCATTATCAGCATCATCAGCATCATCATCATCAACATCATCATCGTCGTCATCGTCATCAACATCATCATCATCCGCAGCAGCATCCTCATCATCATCTGAAACCTCATCACCATCATCATCATCATCATCATCAAGAACAGCATAATCCTTATCATCATCAGCATCAGCATCACCATCACCATCATCATCACCACCACCATCACCACCACCACCATCACCACCACCACCACCATCACGATCACCATCACCATCACCGTCACCACCACCACCACCAGTAGCATCATCATCATCATCATCATCATCATCATCATCATCATCATCATCATCATCATCATCATCATCATGCTCATCATCATCATCATCATCATCATCATCATCATCAGCATAATCAGAATCGTCAGCATCATCATCATCACAATCACCATCAGCATCAGCATCATTTTCAACAGCATCATCCTCATCATCATCAGCATCAGCATCAGCATCATCATCAGAACAATCATCATCATCATTTTGATCAGCATCATCAGCATCAGCATCATCATCACCATCATCATCACCATCACCATCGCCATCATCATCACCACCACTACCACCAGTATCATCAGCACCACCATCATCATCATCAGCATCATCATCATCCTCATCATCATCATCATCAACATCAACATCATCATCATCATCATCATCATCATCATCATCATCATCATCATCATCATCATCATCATCATCATCATCGTCATCATCGTCATCATTATCGTCATCATCCCTTTCCTCCTCCCCCCCTTCTCGTTATCCTCATCATCCTCATGCTCCTCCCCGCTCTTCTCCTCCGGTGGCGCTGCGGACACTGGCCGCACCGAGTAGGCCGGCGCACCAACCCCGCGAGGAACAAGAACCACGAGGTGACCCAATGTCGAGGGCGGAGGTGCCGGGCCGCCGGGGAGACGAAAGCGCGAGCGGAGAAGGGCGAAGACAAAGAGGGGCAGCGGGGGGCCACCCTGGGCCCCAAGAGGAGGGGGCGCAGGAAGACCCGGGCCGAAAGAAGACCCGTTCAGGGGCAAGGCTGGCCATGTGCGGAGGAGCAGGGGGGAAGGAGGGGGCGAGGGCGGGGGCGGCGACGCAGGGCGAGGCTTGCGAGGAGAGCGAGGGCGCCGACGAGAGCGACGAGCCGAGGAGGGCGGCGACGGAGCCCAGCACAGTCTTCGGGGAACGCCAATTGACCACCGTGCCGGTCCTGGCCATGGGACATCCTGGGCCCAGGGACCGGTGCCTCCACCGCCCTGGCCGAGCCAGAAAGGTGTTTACACTGGTCCTGGGCCCCGGATGGGCCTGGACAGGATCGGCAAGGTGATCAGTTGACGTTCCCTGACATTTCCCAGTTTCAACCCTGCAGGCACACAACGGCGACAGCTCTGCGGCGCAGGGCACAGGTGCGAGATCATCAGCGTCTGGCTGGCGGTTGGTCGAACATGCGAGCGGTTGCAGCGGTCCCCGTTTCTGCACGCGCCGATCTTGAAGTAGAAAGGGCAATTCACACGGTCCTCTGGCCCAGAACGAAATGAGGGACAGGTCCGCACATGGGAATGGAAAACACCAGCTTGCGACTCAGCGACACAAAAGGGTGAAGAGAGAGAGAGAGAGAGAGACACACAGGGAAAAGGGGGGGAGAGAGAGAGAGAGAGCGTGTGTATAAATAGAAATGCGTGCATAGACATGTACGAACAACATTAGAGCACACAAGAGCGAGTGAGGACAGGACGCACGGATGCGTTACTATGTCGCGATGCACAAGCATGGTCATGCAGATGCAAGTGCGAAAAAACTGCATATGAGTGGGAATGATACGTTTGATTGTTATGAAGGGCGTCTGGCACTTACAATGACAAGTCAGTATCGCACTCGTTGTACTAAGCGAAGTCGCAGTCATAGTAACGGTCGAAACAGCTTGTGGCATGCAGTATGCTGCATGCAGCAACTAGCAGGAAAAGATGAGTACATGCAGCGGCTAGCGGCTGCATGCAGCGGCCACTGACTACCTACAGCTGCGATTGCAGCTGTAGACGTAAGCTGCGGGCATAAGCGGGTGGTACGCATTGTGTGGCGCGTAGCAGCAACTAGTCGCATGTAGCTCGTATCTGGTAGTATCTAGTCTGCATAGATCTGCACACATACATATATATATATACACACAACCGTATACATATATATATATATATATACACATATACGACATCGTGCCCTTGAGGCACGAGTTGGAGTATCCTCGGGTCCCTTGTAGGATCCCAAGTCCTCAATCATAAAGATTATGTGAAGGACCTGGACCCCAAGTCCCACCAGCCCTCTGGGCGTCGGTGGTTTAGAGCGTTTCCTCTTCCACCCCTCCCTCTTCCCCTTCGGGGAGGGGGGTTACCCCTCCCCCTACCCCCTCCCCACTGACCTGGACAGGAGGGGCGGGGAGCGGTCAGAGCGTCCAAAACGGCCTCGCCGAGGAAGCCAAAATCATTGATTTGACTATGGTTTTGGCCCCGTTTGGGCCTTTTGAGGGGGCAGGGCTAATTAAAGCTCCCCTCTTCTTTGAAGCCAAAATAACTTATGTTACTAAGGTTTTGGCCCCATGTTGGCCTTCTGAGGGGGCAGCGCTAATGAAACCCCCCCTCTTCTTTGAAGCCAAAATCATTGATTTTACTAAGGTGTTGGCCCCAGTTTGGCCTTCTGAGGGGGCAGCGCTAATTAAAGCTCCCCTCTTCTTTGATCGATGTCCTCCAAGATGGCCCCAAGAAGCGCCCAGGAGGCACCAAGAGGCCCCAAGATGGCCCCAAGATGGCCCCAAGAGGCCCCCCCGAGGCACCCAAGACGCCGAAAAGCCCCTCAGGACGACCCTCTACTCGCCTGGGCGTCGTTTCTGGACGGGCTGGCGGGGATACTTTTTATATATATATATATATATATATATATATATATATATATATATATATACATAAAATATAAAGATAGATATATATATATATATATTATATATATATATATATATACATCCCCTCCACCCTCAACCAAAAAACACACACACACACACACACCACAAAAAAAACAACAACAAAAAAAAAAAAAAAAAAAAAAAAAAAAAAAAAAAAAAAAAAAAAAAAAAAAAAAAAAAAAAAAAAAAACGCAGGCGGAAGCGCCAGCGGCGGAAGGTCGCGAACGGGCCGCGGACGCGACTAAATTACCTAACGCGCGCAGGGCCGCAGATCAGGCGGCTCACGACAGCGTCCAGGGGGGCGAAGCCGATGCAATCCAGGTGCCATGACAGCCCCTGAACGGGCATGCAGGTGCGTCCAACAGGCCTGAGGTAGGCACCGAGACGACCTAGCGCAGCCAAAATGGCGCGATAACGTTCCAACGTCCAGGTGCGGACAAAGGAACGACCCGAGGACGTCAGCCCCAGCCTGTCGGGTAGCCCAGACGACGGGGTGGTAAGTCCAACGAGGATCCCGACGGCGGCAGCGAGCCGCGGCGCCAGAACGACATCAAGGTGTATCCATGTTCCGAGAAGATTACCACACCGAGATGTTTCGGCCCAGACCCAGCGGGTGGAAGCAGGGCTGGTGGGGATACGCGAAGCGTCTAGAATTGCCAAATCGCTGAGGCGCGTCGCGTGCCTCCTGAGATTTGTCGCGACCTGTCGCGTGTCCTGTTCGGGCCCATGGGGACCCCAAGACGGGCCAAGGGGGCCCAAAAAGGGCCCCAAGACGACCCAAGAGGGCCCCGATTCGCCGCACGATCGGCCCAAGGTGCCCAAGATGGCCCCAAGACGGCCCAAGAAGCCCCCGAAGACGGCCCAAGAAGCCTCCAAGAGGCGTCGCAAGAGGGCCCCAAGAGGCAAAAATCAGTGTTTGCCGCTAGGTGGTTGAAGGATGCTGGCGTTGTCGCATGTTCGGCTTCCCGACGCTCCAAGGCGGCTTCAGAGGCCCTCAAGATCGCCCCAAGATGGCCCAAGAGGCCTCCAAGAGGGCCCCACGACCGCCCAAGAGGGCCCGAAGGCGGCCGCAAGGGCCTCCAAGACAGCCCAAGAGTCCCCCAAGACGGCTCCAAGAGGGGGCCAGACGGGGGGGGGCCGAACGGACATCTCGATCCGTCGGCCCCGAGAGGCCCCCAGGAGGCCCCGCGAGGCCCCCGAAAGGCCCCCCAGTAGGCACCAAGAGACCCCGAAGAGGCCCCCGCTAAGGCCCCAAGAGGTTCGCAAGAGACCCAAAGGAGGCCCAAAAGAGAGGCTCCAAAACAGCCCCCCATAGGCATCAAACGTGCCTCCAGGAGGACGAGAGGCCTGCCACGGGATCCCAACGAACATCTAAGAGACTTCTCACCCACAACCCAGGCACGGTGGCGGGGTGGGAAAAGAAGGCAATTGGATAGATGCAGCATGTGAGAGCTAGCAGATAGTGTATACGAAAAGCCAGTAGCAGGTGGCAGAAGGCAGGCGGCAGGTAGTAGACAGCAGACTATAGATAACAGGTAGATGGCAGGTTGCAGGTCGAACCCCACAGGTCGTAGATAGTACGCCGTAGGTAACAGGTAGACGACAGGCTGCATGTAGCAGATAGCAGTGCATGGCACGTAGTAGATCTGACGCCGTACCTGCGGACCTGGTGAGAGGTCTGAAGTGACTCTAGCGGTGCCCTCCCATACCAGCAAGAGTCGGCAGAAAAGGGCCCACCCTGGTGTTGCTCTCAAATGCCTCGTTGGCCTCAACATGGCTCCAAGATGAACAAAAACTGGCAAAAGGCAGCCAATACCTCCCCGAGATAGCCCGAGGGGGGCCCAAGAGTGCCCCAAGACGGCTCAGGAGGGCCCCGATACGGCCCAAGAAGACACCAAGACGGCCCAAGATGGCCTCATGGCGACGCAAGAGGCTCTCAAGACACACCAACAGATGCCGTCAAGAGGCAAGCAACACAATCGTTCCGCTTAAGTGTATAAACGATGTTAAAAGATTCGCAGTGTCGGGCGTCCGCAAATCCAAAACGGCGTATGAGGCCCCCAACATCGCCCCGAAGCGTTGCAAAAGACACCAAGGATGTCAAACAAAACGTCCGAAAAGCATACGGCGAGGCGTTCACCTGCGAGAAGCGTTGACAAGCCCGGAACTCAATGTGGTGGGTTTCCGATTCTCGTCAGCTTCAGATCGCATCTGAGACTTCAGGGAGTGCCCAGCAGCACCCAAGACGGCCCAAAGAGCGCCCCGATACAGACCAAGACTGCACGAGAGCCTCTCGTCGGAGCCCACGAGGGCTCCAAGACGGCACCAATGCTTGCCCATACTTCCCCAAGCTGTGGAACCATCGCGCTAGGGACGGCCTCAAGATCCCCGACGGGCCCTCCAGGAGGCCTCCAGGAGGCCCCTCACAGTGCCTAAGACCACTCAAGAGGCCCAAGGGAGCCCCCAAGAGGCTTCCAAGAGACCTTCACAAGGGAAACTGGCACTGTGAAGAGGGGAAAGAGGCATCGGACCAGGAGGGGGTGTTCAAGCTCCGCGCCAACTCAAACAAGGCACTGTATAGTGGGTCTTAAACTCGACCTCCTTCATGATGCACTGTTGCGCTCGAACGGTGGCAGGATTTACCGCGGGCAGCTGAATGATTGGTAACACGAAGTGAATGGTACGTGGTATGCGACCTGGGTAGAACACAGCGGTTAGCCTGTAGAAAGTGTAGGTGCTGTATGCATCCGCTGACAAGAAGACTGGAATAGATGATACGTACCAGGATGATTATGATGAGCATTCGGAGGTAGCTTGTATGTTGCCTTTATAAGGAAATAGCCATGGCGGTAGTCAGAACAGTACATGACATGTAGCGGTGGCTCGTTGACAGTGCACAGCAATGTGGATTGGGCACTGACACAAGCGGTGGCGGAAACATTAGAGAGGCAATTCAACAATAGCGGCAGTCATCACCATAGTCGCAGAAGCAGCAAATTCCTTAAGTAGGTGGGCTAAGGGGCAGAATAGTAGGCAGTAGGATGAGGTGACTGTAAGGGCAAGTGTGGTTTAGTGTATATTGAGAAGACCTAGATTAAGGATCGCACACGTGTTGTAAGTATGGCAATAGACGAAGTAGGCCGTTCAGGTAGATCCTGCACCCGAAAGACGAGTATTCGTAGTACAGGTTGACGAGGGCGCTATCAATAAGCGTGCTAACATCAACGGCACTATATGTCACCCGCCCTCTGGGCATTGGTGGCTTCACGTCCCGCCTTTTTCTACACAAAATACCGGTCCACCTGAAACCCTACCCAGGTGTCTGAACCACGAGGGGGGCGGGGCGAAGGGTTGAAGATTTCAATGTAGCCCCAGCACCCCGATATGGATGTGAACTGGAAGCTGAGCCAACCGAGATGGCGTGAGAGGGCCCCACGTGAAGCCAACAATTGTCTCAAAAAGGCCCAAACAGGCCCACAAGAACATCACGGAAGGGCCTCAAGAGAATCCCAATGAGAAATACATCCTGGTTCCAGAAGATGGGGCGGCGGTGATTGAGAATCCCGCTTCCGTGCTTTTGCTGCTGCTTACAACTTGTGTTTCTCCCTGTGCACTAGTGTCGTAGCATTAGAAGGGTCGAGGGCTAGCTATGCAAAACAGCATGTCAAAGACAGCGACAGATGCTGCCTCTGCAGTCGAGCACGGCATAGCTTGAAATATGTTGCACCACGTAGCATGCACAACATAGTTTGTCTCACGTTGATTGCACAAATAGGCTGCACCACAAAGCTTACCAAGATTGCACCACCTAGCTTGCACCACATTTGCACCACGCGCATTGCAGCACATTGATTGTACCACCTAGCTTGCACCATACATGATACACTTCCAGTGCCATGACGCATTGTTTGGGGCCCGTGTCCTGCGCAAGAGTGGTACAGTTTAAGAAGTACATCTGCTTGTAACCACTGGGCGATATCATGCCCAAAATGACCGCGCCGTGATGCTGGAAGGCGACCTTGTCCGTGCTCAGGGCGGCCAACAAAAACTGGAAAGCTCTCTGCACGAGACGAAAATCGAAAACAGGTATGAACTTTCGGAGCTCCGCGCGGACTTCTTTGATCGGCAGTGGACCACCCTGGCGTCTACGGCGCCACCCCTTGCGCGCTCCGCGCAACTGTGAGGGGAGTCCAGCGCCGATCCAGGGAATCCGCGCGCAGCTCCGAAAGATTATGGTATGCTGACGCTTCTTCTCCAGGCTAGAGATCATTACCGAGCGGAGCACGAGCGCCAGGTCAAGTTTCTCGCGTGCGCTTTGCGTATGCAGATTGCCTTGCTCGATGCACGCCACGTCTGGCCTATCCTCGTCACCGTTCTCCCTCGTCCTTCCTCCCTGCTCTGCCTACACCCTTCCCCAGCTCGCGGTCGCAGGTCGCCCACAGGAGATGGTCGATTTAGTGGCTTGCGCTATGGTACAAACAAGGTCGACCTTAGCTCAGCAGAGGCGAAAGGCATCAGCTCGGAGCCGCCAAAATGAAGAAGACGCATGACCTCGTGCCAGGAAGCCTGCTTCTGCCTCGAAACTGACAAGACAAGCAAACTGAGACCGTGTCGGCCCGAAGCTGAGGTTCCCGCGCAGTCCATGGCGCCGTCCCGGCGAAACCCGGACACGCCTGTCCGATCACTCGAAAACGCAAGCAAGAGCCCCCGATTGCAGGCACTGCAGGCGGAAAGAGCCAGCCCGTGCTCGCCCGGCGTGCCGCGGCGGACCCGTCCTCCTCGGTGGCGAACACCTTCGAGAGCTGCTGGTCGGACATGCCAGCCGGCGGGGAGCCCTGTGCCCCTCCGCCCGCTCCCTGCCCCCCTTCTCACCGTGCCTCCCCCCTGTCCTCCTCCCATCTCATCCGCCCTCCCTCATCCGCCCTCCTCCGCCCCCTCCTCCGCCCTCGTCCGTCCTCTGTCATGCTTCTCCCCCGCCGTCTCCTTCTCCCTGCCTCGCTCCCCGTTCCCTCCCTTTCCAGTCCCGTCCCACCCCGCTCTCTCTCTCTCTCTCTCTCTCACTCGCTCTGTTTCCCTCCCTCGTTTCGTTTCGCTTCGATTCGGGACCAACCTAGCAACCCCTAGTAAAGGCGCGACGTCGGCCCATCCACACTTATCTCTGGAAATGGTATGGAGGTGGGGTGCTGTTCCATCTCTCTTCCTCTCTCTCTCTCTCTCTCGCTCTCTCCCTCTCTCTCCCTCTCCCTCTCCTTCTTCCTCCCTTTCTCTCTCTCTCTCTCTCTCTCTATTTCTCTCTCTCTCTCTCTCTCGTTCTCTCGTTTTCTCTCTCTCTCTCTCTCCTTCTATTCCTCTCTCCCTCTCTCTCTCTCTCTCTCTCTCTTTCTGGCAAAGCCCCGAGCCCTTGCCTCACAACCGACCTCTCCTCTCTACATATGTTTGTCTCTCTCTCTCTCTCGTTCTGTATTTCTCTCCCTCCCTCCCTCCATCCCTCCCTCCTTCTCTATGTGTGTGCGTATCTCTCTATCTCTCTCTCTCCCTCTCTCTTTCTCTCATTCTGTATATCGGCCACCGTGCCTCTGGCACGAAGTGGAGTGCCCCGAGGCCCACGCAGCCCTGAGAGGTGAAGGGTTTGTCGGTTTCTTGAGGGCCTGGACCTACGGTTTCCCAG